TCTATCTATCTATCTATCTATCTATCTATCTATCTATCTATCTATCTATCTATCTATCTATCTATCTATCTATCTATCTATCTCATTATACTCGTCCTCAGCATCTCTTGGGTTTTAGCGCCTTTCTTCCAAAATAAATGGAACGAATATGGATGGAATTGGACTGTAGTCATTGAGGAGTGACACAGTTTTCACTCAGTAGTTAGTGTCAGTGGTTAAAGTATTTATTTGGCAACAAATCAGCTTACGTACAACAAGTCAATTACGTACAACAAGTCAATACTTTCAGGTAAGTGTGCAAGGAAATGGTGGCACCTTTTCTTTCTACTAAGCAGGCACAAAACTGTTGAGATGCACGTATGGCTTAAGCTGTAATCTCGGAGATGATGTCCATTGAAAATAAAGTCTGTAAGGGAAAAAGTAAACGTTGGCTCCATGAAATCAGAAATAAAGTCCAGTTGATTTTGTATTTGTTTTTGTTTTTTTATTGGCTCTATGTGAAATTTCTACCAAGTAACAACTCTGAATATGGATTGAAGTAGATCTGATCCAGCAACTTTTGATGACATTATGATGCAAAAATCTTAATCATTCTGATTATTACATGTTTAGTTAAATATATCTATGTTCACAGACTATATTATAATAATTGTTGTTTTAGTATCACATTTAAAATTGGGTCTAAGTTCGCATATCTTTCATATCTTCCTCTAAAACTGAAACATAAAGTATGAAGCAAAATCTGGGATCTGAGATAGGGTTTTTTGCAGAGCAGGAGGTTTTTTTTTCCAATTTTTTCCTCAATTTTTCTTTTAGTGTTAGGATACCTGATGGGACTTCAGTTGACTTTTTACCTGCCTCATAATTTAAGATGATTTTCTTTAAAATAAAACAATATTTAACTTCTGTTTAGTTTTCCACCTATCAAAGGTCTGGTGTGTTTTGCTTAAATATTGAAACAGGTTTAAGTTAACAGCAGGATTTTATAGTTTAACAATTGGAAAACCGATTGTGGTTATTTCTCATTCCTACAGCCCAGAGGAAAACCTTGGTACAACCTGGAACTTTCTCAGCAGCTGATAAGACTTAATTAAATGTATTTACTGACTCTCATTTTCTTTCTCATAGGATGAATATCAGTTACTGTTTTCTTTCTCCTCCCTTTCTCTTTTTTGTTTTGCTTAAGAGTTTACTTACCTCATCAAGCTAAGCTAAGTAAAAAAAACAATCAAATGACTATGTCTTTCTGGGATTCCTCATTTTGACCTGGTATTAATTGTGAATTCTGCTATTAAGGGTTTTATTAAGCATGCTGTCTTAGCACATTACATGAACCAAGTCACTGGCTTTATAACCCTGTTAGCATAATAAAATTGTTATCTTAATGTAGAGATTTTCTGCATTCAATTTAATACAATATGATTATTACATTTTGAAATGATACATATTGTCTTCACTTACCCCCCTCTATGATTGAGCAAAGTGCCATTATTATGTCCATATTCTTTCTATCAGATTTTCTTCAACTGCACTTTTTAAAATGGATTTTCATTTCATCTTTCTCATGGAAACAGATCTTTTTCAATAATAATTTCACTTACTAGTTATTCAATGTTAGGAATAACATAGGTTACCTAACGTAGTTTGGGTAAAATAATATATATAGACTATGATAGTGAGTTTAAGTGTGTGTCACTTTAACTGCAAAGCATGTAATTTTGGGTGCGGCTGTAAAGCGCCATAAGAGGGAGCAAGAGAACTTGATTGATTGCTGGCTTACTGGATTGCTTGCAGACGATGATGGATTGATGGTTTGATAACTGCGTGTTCTCTGCTGTTGCTGAAGGAAGAAAGGAGGTTTGACTTCTTCATATCTCTACTGCGAAGAGATAAATTACTGGACTGATATTTGTAAGTTTACTGACCTCTTTTTCGACACTGGACTTTGCAACTGATTAATCCCCGGATGGACTGAACTGCTGAATGATAAATGGACTGTTTGACTATGCTAAAAATCTTACTGGAATAAACTATTTAACTAGCACAGTGTATCTGTTTTACTGAGTGTAAGCTAAAAAAACGTTTGTCTCACATATTTGCCTGCCTGCCTGATTGCCGTGCAGGTTCTGCTAGGGTGTATATCCCTAACACTCAACCAATGCTATTTCAGCTTTTTTGTTATGAAAAACACAAAATGAGAACACAAAGTGGGGCTTTTAGATATAAAGGTCCTGAATTACTACAGTAAGACTTGTTCAGTAGATTATGGATTTGCATGACATGTGAGCATGGCTAAGGTCTGTAAGGGGCCTCTATTCACAATAACTTTATTTATTATTTATTTATTTATTTATTGCAGGGAGATACGACATCAATTTCACTGGCACCCTATCACTGAGCCTGTCATATTGTGAATATAGGACTGTAGGCAAGGGCAATAATGGACAGGCTGTGGTATGCCCATATGATACCACTGCTCCATGAGCTGCAATTGGTTGCCTTCTGGGTGTGTTCAAGGTACTTGTTGCCACTTACAAAGCCTTTCAGGGCAAAGGGTCTGGTTACCAGAGGTACTTGCTAGTTCTAATCATTCCTGTCTGATAAGATTTAAATCCGTGCAGCTATCATACAAATCCTTTCCAATCTGCTAATATATGTTTTTAGTGATTCTTTTCCATAGGAAACCAAAGCAAATTTATCTACAATATGTGTAATGGCAATAGAATTATCCCCAGATCTGCCAAGCTCAGAAAAGAAGCTAGTACCTGCCCAGGATCTGTTGGGCCTCAGCTTCTTTTTCCTTTTATGAAAATTAAATTTTACCCTTTAAGATAACAATTAATGTATGCATATTCAGTATGAACTTTCTTTGCCAAGGAATATTACTACCGTGGTGGTTAGCTTCTAAAATGATACTGCAAAAGTTGAGGTGACTATCAGATGGCAGAAAACTGATACAAAAAAATCCTATGATTGCTTCTCCAGGTAATCCTCCAGATTTGTGCAGCACAGATTTGAGAGCACTAACTTTTAAAACTGAGTTTGCTTTTTGGGAAAAACAGAATTCGAGTATTTTTCATTTTAAAAAAAGTACTGTTAAATGCACACTTTGATTATTTACAGAAGAAAAGGTTGGATTCAGCATGACTCTGCCCATGAAATGACGAGAGTATATTCACAATTCCATTACAATAAGTGTTGATAGCAAGCTTGGCATGATATTTTACATTTTGGATATTTCCATAGTATTTACCTTGTAAAAATCATTTGCAGCTTTCCCCTTGAACAGAAAGTAAAAATCATTTGCAGCTTTCCCCGGAACAGAAAGTAGTTCCGGCCTCTTGGCGGAATAGTTTTGAGGTTTGTTATTTTCCTTTACAGCATCAGTAGTCACCATGGAGACTAATGTATCCAGCAAAGAATGAAGACTGCTAAGGCTTCCTGGCTTCCTTGCTGTTCATTTCATTTGTTGTCTTGAGAAAAAGCCAGTGA